CCAGCCTTGGGAAGTGCTGGAATACCCCTCGCAGGAGGGATTTAAATTCATATGGAGGTGGCACTTGGGGACATGTGGCAGTGGTGGCCTTGGCAGTGCTGGGAATGGTTGGGCTCCATGATCCTAGAGGGTTTTTCCAGCCTAAAGTATTCTGGGATTCTCTCTGGCATCGCGAGGCTTCTCCAAGGGATGCAGCTCCCTTGTTTTACTCTGGAAAAGTGAAAAACTCAGAGCAGGGAGCTCTGGGGGAGGTTTCAGGAGCGGGGAGAGCGTTTGAAACGCCCCACGAATGATTAACGGGGGGTGTGCAGGTCTGACCCAGTGTCACTGCCGGGATCAGCGTCACCTGTCACCTGGATTGGGATCACCTGTCACCTGGATCGGGGTCACCTGGATCAGGGTCACCTGTCAATAACAGCCCAAGGGGAACCAGGAACAGAATCCAGCACTTCCCCTGTGCGGATAACAGCCTTATCCCGAATTTCCCGTGTGCTTTTCTCACCTTCCTTCCCTGTTTTGTCCTCCCTTCCTGGGTATTGGAGTGTCCTTGAAGGATCCTGGGAGGGTGGAGAGGGGCTGGGCTGGAATTGCCAGAGCAGCTGTGGCTGCCCCTGGATCCCTGGCAGTGCCCAAGGCCAGGCTGGACATTGGGGCTGGAGCAGCCTGGGACAGTGGGAGCTGTCCCTGCCCATGGAACTGGATGGGATTTAATGTCCTTTCCATCCCAAAACATTCCTGGATTCCATGAAACAGGGACTTTCCTCGTTGTAGCATGGATATATCCATGCAAGGCGGGGTTTGGAATGCACAGTTCCAGGACAGATTTGCTCACCTATTTTAATTTACTCCCAGATGTGCAAATGGCTTTTTTCTATTTCTGGCCACGGTGGTTTCATTTCGCTGGAATAAATCCATTATCCAAGGTGTAATATCCCAACTCCAAGCTTTGGCTGGAAAATTGCTGCTGTCATTTCACAGGGATCACAATCCCAGTGCGCTGGAGCTTCCCAAAGCTCCCAAATCCCCTCTTGTCTGGGCTTCTCCGTGTCCTGGGCTCCAGGCTCCATTCAGGCACCTCCAGACCCACCTCAGGAGCTAAAAAATCCTGGAAATGTGGCTGCAGTGGAGAGTCCAGGAATAGAAAGACTCAGAAGTGTTGGATAACACTCCTGTGGTGTGAATCCAACAGTGGCCACAAACCCAGTGGAGAGCGAGCAGAGGCGCCACTTTTTGTTATTATTATTATTTATTTATCGTTCCCCTTGCCGGAGCTGCGAGAGATAAACTCATTATTTGTTCAGCTTAAAATGCAAATTGGAGAGGCCAAAGCAGCGGGTGAAGCCTCTGCTCGGGGCCACGCAGTGGAAATAAATTCCTGGAATTTTCTCCTTAAATCCCACACTGAAGACCAGGATTTGATCCCCACCCTGAGGAGCAGCTGTGTGGTTCAAACCAAACAAGCGTCTCGCTGTCGTTCCTCTGGATTGCTCCAGAACTTTCCTTTTTCCGTTTCCTAATCCTTAAAACATGAATGTGCTTAGGTGAAAAAACTTCATTAAACATTAATAGAGTGCCTGATTTAACTCCAGCCCCGTTTGCTTCCCAAAGATCATTGTGGAAGAGAATGAACCGTGCTCCCTTGGCAGCTTTGCTGGAGATTTTTCCAAAACTAATAGTGGAATTATGAAAGGAATAAGGAGGGAAAAAGTAAATTAAATCAAATTGCCAAAGCCTTGGGGAAGAGCTGATGCAAATGAGTTCAATGCAGAAGAGTCGCAAACAACTCCAGGTTTGTTTTTTTTCCCTGCGCATCTGGGAAGTCACAATCCTATAAAAACAATGGAAAAACCCGATGGAAAAATGAGCTGTTAGCTCTGGTTGGGGCTTTTATCAGCCCTTCCTTTTCCCATTAAAGTTATTACCTGCAAAAGTGGGATTCAGGAATGAGCAGCCCGGGTTAATTTTCTCTTCCTGTCACTGGGGATCATCAGCCCCTGGATAAATGGGAATTGTGGGGTTTAAAGACTTTTTTGACCTTAAAGGCAGGGGAAAGTTTCATTTTAAAGCTGTTTATAAGGCTAAAGTAGCTTGATAAGTAAATAAAGCAGGGGGAGAAGAGAGAAGGGCCTGAATACAAATTCCCGTTAAAATCGTTCAACTGAGCCGCCGCAGGGACGTAAAATCGTTCCCTGGATTCGGAGCATTCCGTGGAAGCAGCAAGGAAAACAAAGGAGGGAACGTTATTCCAAAGCAGAGATGAGTTTTGGATGTTCAAACATTCCGAGGATTTATGAGCAAGAGGACAAAATGATGGAAAAATCAGCCATTAGCGGCTTTTTAACACCTCAAACACGGAGCTGCCACGATATTCCTTCCCAAAATTCTCTGTGCTCTCCCTCAAGGATTTAGGATCAGGAGGGTCCAAATCATTGCCTGAAATAATTCCCTGGATTTGGAGCATTCAATGGAAGCAGCAAGGAAAACAAAGGAGGGAACATTATTCCAAAGCAGAGATGAGTTTTGGATGTTCTAAAAAGTCCAAGGATTTATGAGCAAGGGGGAAAAAATCAGCCATTAAAGGCTTTTTTACACCTCAAACACAGAGCTTCCAGAATATTCCTGTCCCAAAATTCCTGTGCTCTCCTTCGGGATTTAGGATCAGGAGGGTCCTCAGCAGATGCTGCTTGAGCATCTCTGTTGTTATTTTAGAGATTTCTTCTGTGCCTGGCTCCAAGTTTAGGGAGAATTTTCCCAGGATTTTAAGGTGTGGTGTGGCTGGAAAGGCTGGAGAGGTTATGGGTATGGAATTATCCTGGCTGGAATGGGGAAAACAAAAACAGAGAATTTCCATTTAGAAATCAAGTATTTATTTCAGATAAAATTGGTTTTGTTACGAAGATCAGAGAAATGATACCACGAGCAGCAGCGGGTGCCTTGCTGAGGTCATGATCCATAAAAATATGGAGAGTTCATGGGATCTTGGAATGCTTTAGGTTGGAAAAGTCCTCTGAGGTCAAATCTGACCATTCCCAGCACTGCCAAGGCCACCACTGATCATGTCCCCAAGTGCCACCTCCACAGGGATTTCAATCCCTCTAAGGATGGGGACTCCACTGCCCTTTTCCAGTACTTTACAGCTTTTCCACAGAGAACTTTTCCTTGGAGAACTTACATCTCAAGGTGGAAAAACACCTGGAAAATAGTGAACATTACTAAATTTGATTAATAATTTGTTTGATATCCATTATATAGGAGGATCTAGGAGGTTTTTTTTGGGAAGTACAAATAATTTAAGTCAGGGTGGTGAGAGGAAAACAGGAGATTTGGGAGAGGCAACTCCCAGCTCTCCCTGAGAAGGCAGCGGAGACCTGGAATATTTTCTTTCCCAAGGATAATTCCTGTCTTTAAGCCAACAGTTCCCTGCAAAGCTGCTGCCTTGGGAAGCTTAGGGAAGCGGGAGCATTTTAATGTTTTATGTAAAACACTGTTTTGTAAGGATACAAAATCTCCCTGTGCCACCCTGGAATGGGTGGATTTCAGGAATTCTTCCCCCTCAGGGGTTAAAAACTGAGCTGAGTTCTTTGTCGAGCCAGAACGTCCTGGCATTCCCTGGTTTGCACCCCGCTGGGAACACGTTTTCCATGCGTGTTCCTGGCTCTGAAGAGCCGCGCTGACGTGAGCTGAGCACGAACCATCGCTCCAAGTTATCCTTGTTTTCCAGCCCTGATGAGGTTTTCCATCTTCGGGAAGTTGGGTCCGTGCACATGCTGGATGTTGGTTATATTTTATTTATTTGGTGTTTTGCTGGAATCAAAATTCTGGCGGAGTTGGAAGCTGTGAATGTGAATTATTTAAAATCGGTTTTATTCGAGTTAGGGCAGAACAGGCTGTTCTGGGGGTGGGCAACTGGTTCATTCTGGGCTTGCTGGGACAGCAGAACCTCCACGGGAATGGAGAAAAAACGTCCAGAGGTGATGATTTTTGGGGAATCCAGACAGCAGCTCCTGGGGTGGGGAGTTGATGGAATCATGGAATGATCTCACAAGGATCATCCAGCTCAGCTCCCAGCCCTGCACAGACCCCCCCAGAAATCCCAGGCTGTGCATCCCTGGCAGCGCTGCCCAAATGTTCCCAGAGCTCCGGCAGCCTCGGGAATGTTCCCGCTGAGCACAGAGTCACCAGCTCTGCTCTGTGCCCGGGGTGTTGCTGCCTCATGCACTTTATCCAAAGCAAGTCCCGGAATTCCAGACTGGTTTGGGATGGGAGAGACCTTCCTGACCACCTCGTTCCACCACTGCTTTGGGCTGGGACAGTTTCCATAGACCCGGTTGCTGCAAGTGCTGTCCCAGTTAAGACAAGGCACTTACTGGGTTTATTCAGTGTTGTTCCAAGGATCTCCTCACAAGACCTTGGGAAAGTCCTGTCTCCTAGGACAGGCCTAAACACTAACCTGGGCTGGTGCACTCTCCTGGGATGGGTCCTAAACAAGAACCTGGGTTTAACATGTTTAGTTTTAGGATGTGCTCAGAAGAAGCTGCCCAATGTCCTGCAACAGGAAGAGACCAGGCTAGTCCTGTCTCCTAGGACTGGTCATAAACAAGAACCTGGGTTAGTCCTGTCTTCTAGGACTGGTCCTAAACAAGAATACGGGTTAGTCTTGTCTCTAGGACAGGTCTCAAACAAGAACATGGGTTAGTCTTGATTCCTTTGATGTGTCCTAAACAAGAGCCTGGGTTAGTTTGGATGCCTAGGATGGTTCCTAACCTGGGTTAGTCCTGTCTCTAGGCCAGGTCCTAAACAAGAACCTGGGTTAGTCCTTTCTCCTAGGACTGGTCCTAAACAAGAACCTGGGTTAATCCTGTCTCTAGGAAAGCTCCTAAAAAAGAACCTGGGTTAGTCCTGTCTCTAGGACAGCTCCTAAACAAGAACCTGTGTTAGTCCCATCCCTAGGCCTGGTTTCCCCCCTCTAACACCCTCCCGCCCTCTCTGTGTCTCCGCAGACCCCCCAGCTGTGGAGCCAGCATTCCTGGAGCTGCGGCAGGGCCAGGGCCGTGGCGTCACCATGAGCTGCCGGGTGCTCCGGGCGTATCCCACGCGGGTGCTGAGCTACGAGTGGCGCCTGGGCAGCCGCGTGCTGCGCACGGGCCAGTTCGACCTGCAGGACTCCACGGAATACACCGTCAGCAGCCTCTCCCGCGACTCCTACGGCATCTACAACTGCAACATCATCAACGAGGCGGGCGCCGGCCGCTGCAGCTTCCTCGTCACAGGTAGGAGGCGTGGAGCTGGAAATTAATCAGCTTTTTGATTGGTTTTTTGATGTTCTTTGGAGGGGTTTTAGTCAGTTTGTTCAAGTTGCCCAGGAGGTTGAAGTTTCTCTTCAAAACTCTGCTTGTGGAGTGTTTGGGTTTTGTTGGATCAAACGATAAAAGGGATGTTCCCAGATTTTGAGTTTGGAGTCTCAGGGTTGGGAGTAGCCAGGAGATAAATGGACATTGTCAAATGTCAGCCCCTGGCAGGGATTGGAGCAGCTGGGGTGGGAAAAGATTGAGAAGAGAAATGAAAAATGGGAACCAAATCAGCATCGAAGGGATCGATAACCACGAGGAAATCCAACACTAAAAACGGGGTCATTTGGGACCAATGAATGAGAATTTTTGCGTGTTTTTTTATGTGTAAATATGGGAAAAGTCTGGTAAAGTGTTTTGTGGATGGAGTGATTTCCATGGCACATCCTGGCCGGAATAAAGTAATTCCGGATTCCCCAACACTTAGAAGATGGTGCTGGAGAGTTTCTTTTGTTCCTGAATTTCGGTGAAAATGCGGTCTTGGAGGCCCAGGCGTGTTGGATCACTCCTGCTCCGGGTGCCAGAAACATCCTTCCAAGTTGTATCAGCTTGAGGAGTCTTGTTGGGATTGTGGTTGGGGAAAAAAAGGAGATTTAGCTCATTTGAGGATCAGGATTTCTCAGTGGAAAATGTGAATATTCCTTCTCTGTTGGCATCCACCAAGGGGGGTTTGAGGGAAGTCTGAGGGATTCATCAGGCAGCAAAATTCCTCTCTTTGTAGTTGGCACTAAAGTTGGATTTCTTCTTCTCTCCAGCTTGGAGAGTGGGGTGAGCACGTCACAGGCTCCAACCACTTCCTTGGGAACAGAGGGATGTTGGAATTTATTCCTTTTCTCCAGCAGGAAAGGACTTTGGGGAATTTTCCACCAGATCCCCAGGATCAGGTGGATCCACTGGTGCAGCCCCCCAGGATCCACCCATGGTGTGTAATTAATGTGATGGAGCCAAGCTTGGTGCGTCTTTTGTCTTGGGGATCTTGGAGCTGAAAAACTTGGATCTTGGAAAACTTTGGAAGTCTTGATTTTAACTCTGTTGAGGATTAATGAAATTAATTGGAACTGTAAGGCTCTGCTGCCTGATCCTGCAAGGCCCAGCAGCAGTTGTGTCCAAGGTGAGGTGTTCTGATTCCTGGAATCCCATCAGGTGGAGGTTCCACGTCATTCCAGGATGGTTTTCCAGACTGTGATGGGTGAAGAATTCCTGGTTCCTCTGCACCGGCTGGGAGTGGCCTCAGTGGGGCTCCTGGAGGCCAAAGAGAGCAACCTCAGCCCCCCTGACGAGTCCTGGTGTCTCCAAACCCACACTGGAAGGTGTTTGGAGCCACCTGGGGTAGTGGGAAGTGTCCCTGCACATGGAAGGGTTTGGAATGAGATGATCTGGAAAGTCCCTTCCAACCCGAACAGGTCTGGGATGTCTGTTGGAGCAACAGCCCTGTTTCAGCTCTAAATCATCCCAAAAGCTGCTTGGAAATGAATGACGGGAAAAGAAACCGATAAAGAAGAAATTCAGGATGTTTAAATAGGAATTCCTAGAAGGAAAGATGCCCATCGTTGTTAGGGCTTTATCCAACTTGACTCCCGTTACGATCACCTGGACATGGAGTTTTCCTTCTGGGATCGCAGCTCCCTGGATTCTGTCCCTGCTCAGGAAAATGGACTTTTCTATCCACGTTACTGGTTCCAGGAGAAAAGGGATGGACTTAATGGGAAAGCTGCAGATCCTGTGTCAGGGACCCAGCTCTGATAGCAGGGGACACCTTCCACACCCGTCTGTCTCGGGAATCAAGGAAACCGTTTTTTACAGCTCCCCGAGTGTTTATTTTTCCTTGGTAAAACTTGATTTAGTGGGAAAAAACGTGGGTCTACTTTCACATGGAGACTTTTTTCCCTATCTTGGATTTATCTAAATCCATGGAAGTGTCCAAGGCCGGGTTGGACACGGCTTGGAGCAGCCTGGGATAGTGAAAGGTGTCCCTGCCTGTGGAAAGGAGTGAAATTTGATGGACTTTAGGGTCCCTTCCAACCCAAAACATTCCACGATGGGAATGGCATCCCCTTGGCAGGAATTTCACACAGCACAAATGTGGCGGGAATACAGCAAATCCTGCAATTCCGAGCGGTTCTGCTCCTTCCAAATGGGATCCAACCTTTGGCTGACGCCATTTGGAGCCTGCTGGAGGTGTTTGCACTGCCACCAACTTCTCCAGACCTTGGGATTTTAATCCCAAAGGCAGCTCTGAAGGAAACCAGAAAAACTGTTTGGCCTCAAATGGGTAAATTTGGTTCAATTTATTCATCAGGATTTGTATCCCAGACTGTGGGAATTGATTCCAAGGCAATTCTTTTGCCAGGATCGGGGCAGTTGGAGCGGTTTTAGCAAACCACAAACCTGAAAATGAGTCCTGGGATGATTTAATGATGTTTTCCATTTCCCATCCCTCCCCGTGCTCATTTAGGGCTCGTCCCACCCTGCTCATTTATGATGGATTAAAGATGCTGGGAGCAACACTTTGACTTTTCTTAATCTTGTAATGTTAAAACCGGGTTTATTTAGGAAACAAATTCTCTGCCGCTGCTCTCAGAGCTCTGTGGCGCTCCCGAATCTCAGCAGCACAGATGGAGTCGAAGCCCCAGGGAACTGAAAACACTGAAAAAAGAAAATGATGAAATGGTTAAAAAGGAGGCTTGGATTTCGCTGGGAATGTGAATAGAGACAAGAAATTGGGCACTTCTTAGGCACGATTGGAAAAACGAGCCCGATAAATAACTGCAAGGCGGGAATGTGGCAGTTGTGTGGAGCTTTTGTTTGGGGGGGAATAATAGGTTGTTGTAACCCATTTTTAGCTGGTTTATTTCTGGTTTTTCATGCAGGAAAACAGAAATGTGCTGGACTGGGGCTGCAGAAAACCATTGGTATGCTCAGGGAAAGCTTTTTAGTGCAGCATTTCAAGCAGCCTGCCTTGAAAGATTTATTCTGACCCCAGAGCTTGCAAAATCTCCTTTTTTTTTTTTTTTTTCCTGTGTATTTTGAGCCAGATTGGAGGAGATGAAAGCCAAATAAATCACACTTGGAAAAGGGGTTAATTTATAGCATCTGGGCCAACGCGAGGCAGATGTAACCTGCCAGTCTCTTCAAAATAAATAAGAAGTGACAAGGCAAATTGTGTTTGTGGGGAAGCAGAGCCGAGTTCATGCTCCTCACAGCTTCACCACCTCGAGATTTTATTCGGGGCCAGATCATATCCAGAGAGCAACAAAATGTCCATTCCGGGCTGTGGCTTCGGAAAACTCTGCCAGGGCTGGGAGCAAATAAATCAAAGCAGATCTGGGCACGGCAGAGGCTGAGGAGCCTCCCTGAGGGAGGGTTTGGTGCTGGGCAAGGAGCGGGATGAGCACGGGGAGCTTCTCCCTCCCTGGAGCAGCCGAAGGTGCCAGAGGCTCCTCCAGGACACACCTGAGCCCCGCTGGGTCACAGCCTGGGCTGGCCAGCTGGGGACACCCCAGGAGGGGCTTTTGCACCGTGTCTTGGGCTTCTCACGGCAGGGTGGGCTGATCTCCGTGTTCTGTGAATTCCCAGTTTGCACAGGAGGGATGAAGTGGGGTCCTCTTCTTTTTTTTTCTTCTTTTTTCTTTTTTTCTCTTTTTCTTTTTCTTTTCCTTTTCTTTTTTCTTTTTCTTTTTCTTTTTCTTTTTCTTTTTCTTTTTCTTTTTCTTTTTCTTTTCCTTTTCCTTTTCCTTTTCCTTTTCCTTTTCCTTTTTCTTTTTTTCTTTTTCTTTTCCTTTTTCTTTTTTTCTTTTTCTTTTTCTTTTTCTTTTTCTTTTTCTTTTCCTTTTCCTTTTCCTTTTCCTTTTCCTTTTCCTTTTTCCTTTCCTTCTCTTTCTTCTTTTCTTCTCCTTCTGCTTCTTCTGTTCCTTCTCCTTCTCCTTCTCCTTCTCCTTCTCCTTCTCCTTCTCCTTCTCCTTCTCCTTCTCCTTCTCCTTCTCCTTCTCCTTCTCCTTCTCCTTCCCCTTCCCCTTCCCCTTCCCCTTCCCCTTCCCCTCCTTCTCTCTTCTTCCTCATCTTCCTCTTTCTCCTCCACCTTCTCTTTCCACTTTCTCTTCTTCATTATTATTATTCTGCATCATTAACCAGGGGCCAGGACAAGAGGGAACGGCCTCAGGCTGCACCAGGGAAGGTTCAGGTTGGATATTGGTGGGAAGTTCTTCATGGAAAGAGCTGGCAGACACTGCCCAGAGCAGCCCTGGAATTGTCCAAAAACCGTGGATGTGGCTCTTGAGGCTGTGGGATAGTGCTGACGGTGGGGGTGGATTGACAGCCAGACTTGATGATCCTAAAGGTCTTTTCCAAGCTGAACAATTCCATGGGGATTGCAAACCCCTGGGGAGCTGTTTGGGATTAGGATTACCTAGAACTGAGTTTACCTGGCAAGTCCTGGTTTAAAATTTCTCCTCCATTTGGGAAGTTTGACCCCCTTGAGCTGGAATTTGCTCTGCTGGGGCTTCCCTGGGTTGAATTTGTCCCCAAAGTTGTGTCCAAAGAGGGATTTTTAGGTTTTTCAGACGATATTTTGTTCCCTATCCATTAAATTCTTTAATCAGAGCTGGATTCACATTCGTTTGGGATTCCTTCCTTAATTTCCACCAGGAATCTCTGTCCATAGCGGATGGGGCTGGCTTGGCAGGGCTAGAGATTTAATATTAAAATTCAAGATTTCAATTATTCATCACAGCCCTGGGTAGGACTAAACAAAGCTCTAATGGTATTCCACGGACTTAATTCCTTTTATCAACCAACTCCCGATCCCACCAGTGAGGGAAGACGGTTTGGAATGTTAATTCCATGTTGTTCTGGCCCGTGGAAGTTTCCTGCCACGGGATATTGCATTAATTAATGAGATCATCTTTAATTATTTACTTTGTCTT